TGGTAGCGTAGTGGTTACGAATCAGGCTGTGAACCTTAAAGTCAGCAGTTTGAAACTACCAGATGTTCCGCGGGAGAAAGATGAAGCTTTCTGTTCCTGTAAAGATTTACAGCCTCGGAAACCCTGTACAGGGTCGCTATGTATGAGTCGGAACCGACTTCACAACACATAACCACCATCATGTATATATATATTATTGTTATTATTAAGTGCTGTGAAGTTGGTTCCAAATCTTTCTATATAGTGGTTCCGAGGAGCAGCTAGTAGGTTTGAACTGTTGACCTTATGGTTAGTAGTCCTGTGTTATTAAGTGCTGTTGAGTCAGATCTGCCTCATAGCAACCCTGTATGTGGTTTCCGAGGAGTGGCTAGTGAGTTTGAGCCGCTATACAGCAAAATAGGTTCCCTTTAACAATTTTCATATAAATTTTTCTGTTCCATTGGTAACAATTTTTATAATGTATCAGCATTCTCGTTCCATTCTGTTTGTTTTACCTCCCTTGATCTAGCTTCACTTTCCCCCCTTCCCCTTTTTGCTTTTGTGTAGATGTTGGCCATTTGGTCTGATATAGTTAATTGTTTAAGGGAGCACATTATTATATTGTTTATTTCACAAGCCATTCTATTATTTGGCTGAAAGATGATCTGTAGAAATGTCTTCAATTTCAAGTCCAAAGGTTATTTTAGAGTGATAGTCTTGGGTGTTCCTCTAGAAAGTGTTAGTCTGGCCTTTCTTTGTGTTTTTTTGGAATTTGAGATTTGCTTTACACTTACCTCCCATTTTTTCTGGGAGCTTGTATTGTATCCCCGGTCAGAATAGTCGATACTTGTAGCCAGGCACCATTTAGTTTTTCTGGTCTCAGATCAGAAAAGAATGGGATTTGTATGGTAACCACCTTTATATGTAATGAATTTTCTATCGCTGACAGTTTTTTTCTTGGGGTTGATTGATTTTTAACTTCTATGTTTGTAAGCCATGTAGGTTGTCATTTCATAAAGATGTTTGAATTTCATGTGGAAAACTTGAGTCATGCAAGCTGGTTGTACAAAGCTCTTATGTTCATAGCTCTGACCAGAGATAGTTTTAAACAGATTAGTAACAATGTGTGGGCTTTTTATAAATATCTGATTGAATTATTAAAGTATTATACTAACTGTGCATATCTTCTGAAAGTCTTATATTTATTGCCAGTGGATTTGTTTATGTTAATATAGACTTGTAGCAGTCATCAATTTACCATTCTTGTTTTACACATTTATTGCAGCTTGTACATATTGGAGCAAAATTTATGTTTATAGCAGGAATGTTTGTCTCAGGAGGAGTTACAATTCTCTTTGGGTAAGTCATTTTCTAATGTGTTGAAGAGTTTGAAGAAATTTCAGAATCTGCTTTCAGTTTGAAATGTTCGTGGTGTTTTTATATCAGTCAGTACCACTGATTGTCTGTTGAGAGCATCCATAACTTGTGTTGAGGACTAGTAGCAAAGGCAGTCCGGTGATGTAGGGGATGAGGATGAAGTTCACTGATCTTAAGGAAAGCAGCCTCCAGGGGATTGCCGATAACCTGCAATTGAATCTATTTGCTAGGGCCCTGGTGACAGTGAACGAAACTCCGACTGGCCTACGTAAAAACATGAATTTGTAGCCTAAAGAATCACCTGAGGAACACCAGGATACAAATGTTGATATGATGTCATCAATTATCTTTCCCACTTCATGGGTTTGCTTTCCTGTTTGTGTGCTTTGTTCTTGGGCAAGCCCTCGCCTGTGGTGGCCAGATGGCCCAGTGCTCCAGTGAAAAGACAGTGTCACTTTCCTAATATCCCCTGTTAGAGTCCCAGGGGGATGTCCGCTGACCTGGTCTTAACTGATGCCCTGTCCCTGTATCTGCCACTGTAGCCAGTGGGTAAGTGTGCTCTGATTGGGCAGAATTGGGTCATGTGCTAAAAGTGAGGCTGGGATAGTTCAGTTGAAGTGGGGACATGAGTGCCAGAAGAACCCCAGCCAGCTATGGACGATCTTAAACTTAAGAGTTCCTTAAACCATCAGTCTAGTGGCACATTATATAGAAGAACCTAATAAGTACTAAAGAGCCCGGGTAGCATAGTGGGTTACCCGTTGAGCTGCTAACTCCAAGGTCACCAGTTCAAATGTACCAGCTATTCCACAGGAGAAAGAGAAGGCTTTCTGCTCCTGTAAAGAATTACAGTCTTGGAAACCCTATTTAGGATGGCTATGAGTTGGAACCGACTCCACAGAACAAAACCAACCAACCAACCACAAACAAGTGCTTAATGGAAAATAGAAGAATGGTAAAAGTATAGTGAGATGATAATGAATTATAGTTGTTGTTAAGTGCTGTCGAGTCAGTTCCGACTCATAGCAACCCTGTATAAGGTTTCCGAGGAGCAGCTGGTATGTTTAAACTGTGGACCTTGCAATTTAAACTGACGTCTCTGTCCAGTGTTTATCCTATAGCGCGCCACACCAGGATGATGAATTAAGCTCAATAAATCTTTCATATCAAATACAATTCAGATGGATTTTATTTTCCTTTTTTTTTTTTTTAAGAAGTCTTCTATTTTCTTGCATTTATTTATTTTTCTGAAGTGTTGAACCCTGCCATGGAACTTAGTGTCATTTTAGGTCTTTTTTCCTGTGTAGATTCTTGACAGTCTGATTCTACATATTCTAACAAGGCCTACTTAGTTGCTTTAGAGTCAGTTCCAACTCATGGCAACACTGTATGTGCTGAATAAAACTGTACTACATAGGGTTTTCAGAATCAGATTGCTTGGCCTTACTTATGATGCATCTCTAAGTAGGTTTGAACTGCCGTCTTTTAGCTCCTAGCCCAGCAGTTAATTATCTGTTGCCACCCAGGGACTCCTACTTAATATTATCACCTAGGGGATAAATTATGTCAGCTGAAAAGGACAACCAGTTTGTCAACATGACTTAAATTCTATGAGTGTGTGGGTTTTTAAGTAAGTTTCCTTCTGTTGAAAATATGACAAAGCAACTCATTAACACTCATATCCTAAAAAATAAAAAAGAGGGAATAGACAAATACTGTTAACCGATGGTATATGGAGGGGATTGTAATCATTGCAATGAAACAAAATACAATTGTTGGAGTACAAAACCAATGTTCCCCCCATGTAAACTATCACTCAATTCACACACACACAAAAAAAAGCTTAAAAAAAAAGAACCTCATAAGGAGATTTATTCTAATTACTATGTTTAGTGACTGCAATTAAAAAATAAAATGCAGAAATAATTAAGCCCAACCTAATATTTGAAAATCATGTTATTCCTTTTCAGTGTGTTGGACCAAGTTCCAGCAGGACCACCATTCATTGCTATGTGTTTTCTAGTGAGAGTGGCAGACGCAGTAAGCTTTGCTGCAGCGATAACTGCGTCATTTTCTATCCTCGCTAAGGCTTTTCCAAATAATGTGGCCACGGTGTTGGTATGTGTCTCATACATTTTTTCCATTCTGGTTTTATTATAGGCTGAAATGTTTAATGTTTAAAACTAAAGCGAGGTTCCATTCTTCCATGTCTGCTTTTCTCTACTTTCTGTACTTTTGTTGCCTTTGACACTGATTGCTACTTCTAGGAGCAAAGCTGTTGATGCATACACCGTTTGAAGTGCACAGGTCATTGTCCTGCACTTAGAATTCTGAATGGGAAGCTTGATAGGCAAATATGATCCAAGCCAAATATTCCCCTTTATCGTTTTATTTATAAGATCAGTAGTATTTTATTGTGTCTCTGTAGTCTAAATTGTGATTTAGAAGCCTAAGGTCTCTCTCTTCCTAAGACTTATCCCCAAAGACACAACTGTCAGTGCTTGCCAAAGCCCTTCTTCCACTTCACAGACTCATGGGCGGAACCTGAGGGATCATCTTGAGGTCCTTAGGAGCCTCTGTCTGAGGAGTACCCTCTTACTTTGCCATGAAAGTCCAAAACTTGGTGGCATCCTATTGATATACATTCTCATACATTGACTAGAAGTGTTGTTGTGCTACTGTTAAGAGCTGTGGAGTCATAGCAACCTTGTATAGAGTTTCCAAGGAGTGGCTGATGAGTTTCAAATTGCCAGCCTTGTGGTTCATACTGATTTTGCGGTCCAGTTTTTATCCCACAGTGCCACACCAGAACTTTTAGTATGTAAGTCCAGTATTAGTGACATATTAGACTTCCATCCTAGCTGTATGCTGCTACCTCTCTGTCCCCAGCAGATTTCCCAAAGCTCTCTCCTCTGAGCTCCTTCTTGATTGAAGAACCCGTGGCCAAACGCTACCCTCATAGCATATGCTTGTCTTCCATACTTCAGGATGTAATTAGCTTAATGCCAAGGACTGCCTCACTTACCCATATCAGTACTATAGTTTGAAAGTTTTCTCTCAATATGCTGCTTGCTGGATAATAGTTCTTCTCTTACTGTCTGTTAAGTATCTGCATATATGTCCTGGCAGTTTGTCACACTGTGGTGCCTTGTATATTGCTGTGATGCTGGAAGCAATGCCATGGGTGTTTCATCAACCAGTTGGGTCCTGCATGGTGAACAGGTTTCACTGGTCCTTCAAAACAGAAAGCATACTAAGAAGAAGTAGGTCATCCATTTTTGAGGGATTATCCCCTTAAACCCTTAGTAACACCAGTGGAACATTGTCTGATTAGTGCTAGAATATGAACCTCTCTGTTTGAAAAGCACTCAAAGTATGACGAAGGAAGAGTTGATTCCTCAAAGTGCAGTTGACCTACAAAGCTTTTGGGACCTTCATTTGCTGACAGGGCACAACTTTAGAAGAAAAAACTGCAAACATCCACTGATAATTGGAATGTGGAATGTATGAAGTGTGAATCTAGGAAATCTGGAAGTCATCAAAAATGAAATGGAATGCATAAAGATCAATATCCTAGCTAGACACTACAGAGCTGAAATGGACTAGTATGGGCCATTTTGAATCCAACAATCGTATGGTTTATTGTGCCAGGAATGACAAATTGAAGAGGAATGGCATCACATTCACTATCAAAAAGAGCATTTCAAGTTCCATCTTGAAGTGCAATACTGTCTGTGGTAAGATAATACCCATAAGCCTATATGGAAAACCAGCTGTTAAGACTATTATATAAATACATGCACCAACCATTAAAGTCCAAGATGATGAAATTGCAAACTTCTACCAATTTCTACAGGCTGAAATTGACCAAACATGTAATCAGGATGCACTGATAATTACTGGTGATTGGAATGCGAAAGTTGGAAACAATGAGGAGGGATTAGTAGTGGGAAAACATAGCCTTGGGGATAGAAATGACACTGGAGCTCACATGACAGAAGTTTGCAAGACCAATGACTTACTCTTTGCAAATATCTTTTTTTCAACAACATAAATGATGACTAGGCAGGTGGACCTCACCAGATGGAACACGCAGGATTCAAACTGATTACATCTGTGAGAAGAAATTATAGAGAAGCTCAATATCATCAGGCAAAATAAGGTAAAGGGCAGATTTTGGAACAATACAGCAATTGCTTATATGCAAGTTGAAGTTGAAGTTGAAGAAAAATAAAACAAGTCCACAAGAGTCAAAATATTACCTTATATATACCCCATCCGAATTTGGTTACCATCTCAAGAACAGATTGAATGCACTAGACACTAATAACCAAAACCCAGGAGATTTGGGGGATGATATCAAGAACATCATACATGAAAAAAGAAAAAGGTTACTAAAAAGATGAGAAAGGCTCTCTCTCTCTCTCTTCCTGTCCCTGGTGCACCGGGAGCTGCGGGCATCACTGCAGACATGGCCAAGTCCAAGAACCACACCATGCACAACCAGTCCCCAAATGGCACAAAAATGGTATCAAGAAACCCCGATCACAACAATATGAGTCTCTCAAGGGGGTGGACCCCAAGTTTCTGAGGAACATGCGCATTGCCAGGAAGCACAACAAGAAGGGCCTGAAGAAGATGCAGGGCAAAAACGCCAAGGACATGGATGCATGTGCTGAGGCTACCAAGGTTCTCATAAAGCCCAAGGACCCAAGGAGGTCAAGCCTAAGATCCCAAGGGGTGTCAACCGCAAGCTCAGTCAACTGGCCTACATTGCCCATCCCAAGCAGGGGAAGCTTGCTTGGGCACGCATTGCCAAGGGTCTGAGGCTCTGTTGGCCAAAGTCCAAGGCCAGTGCTCAAACTAAGGCTGAAGTTTTAACCAAGGTCTCAACTAAAGCTCCAGTCAAGGCCTCAACTAAAGCTCTAGCCAAGGCCTCAACTAAAGCTCTAGCCAAGGCCTCAACTAAAGCCCCAGCCAACGCTTCAACTCCAGCCCCAGCCAAGGCCTCACCTCAGGCTCCCAAAGGTTCCCAGGCCCCCACAAAGATGGAATAGAATTCTCCATCTGAGGACAGAGGGATTGGCATGACCCTTTGGGGTACCACCTGTATGGAGCTGGTGTCCTCCTGTGCTTTTTGTACAAATAAATCTGAGGCAGGAAAAAAAAAAAAAAAAAAAAAAGATGGGAAAGAAAGAAAAGACCAAAATGGATTTCAGAAGAGACTGTGAAACTTGCCCCTGAGGATAGAGAAGCTATCCTCAAATGGATAAAATGAGGAAGTAAAGAGCTGAATCGAAAATCTCAAAGGGCAGCTTGAGGAGACAAATGAAAAATCCAAACACCCTGAGTTTAAAAACCAAAAGGGAAGAACACCCTTAGCATTTCTCAAGCTGAAAGACCTGTAGAAGAAGTTAAAGCCGCCTTGGCTTGTAATATTGGCAAAAGATCAAATGACACAGGAAGCATCAAAGAATATAGAAGGAGTACACAGAGTCACTGTACCAAAAAGAATTGGTTGATGTTCAGCCATTTCCGGAAGTAGCACATGATCAAGAACTGATGGTACTGAAGGAAGAAGTTCGAGCTGCACTGAAGATAATTTGCAAAAAAAAAAAACACAAAACCCTAAACAAGTGTCCAGGAATAGATGGGATACCAACTGAACTATTTCAACAAACTCATGCTGCACTGGAGGTGTTCATTTGTTTATGCCAAAAAATTTGGAAGATTATTACCTGGCCAACTTACTGGAAGAGACCCATATTTGTGCTCATTCTAAAGGTGACCCATCAGAATGTGGAAATTATCAAACAAGAGATGGACTGACACAGTGGCGGCAACAATTGGCTCAAACATAACAATTGTGAGTATGGCACTGTTTCGTTCTGTTGTGTGTTGGGTCACTATGAGTGGGAACTAACGTGATGACTGACACCGAACAACATCATTAGTATCACACACAAGTAAAATTTTTCTGAAGATAATTGAGAAATGGTTACAGTCCATCGACAGGAAGCTGCTAAATTCAAGCTGGATTCAGATGATGTGAAATGTGGTGCATCATTGCTGACATCAGATGGATGTTGACTGAAAGCAGAGAATACCAAAAAGATATTTACATATGTTTTTTGTTTTGTTATTTGACTTGTGAAGACATTCAACTGTTTGGATCATAACAAACTATAGATATCATTGCAAAATATGGTAATTCCAGAATACTTAATTGTGTTCATGTAGTATCTGTACAAAGAACAAAGGGGATACTGAATGGTTTGAAATCAGGAAAGGTTTGTGTCTGGATTTTATCCATTCACTATACTTATTCAAATCTGTATGCTGAGCAAATGATCTGAGAAACTGGACTATTCTAATAAGAATGTGGTGTCAGATTTGGAAGAAGGCTCATTAACCTGTGAGATGTCGAGGACACAACCTTGCTTGCTGATAGCAAAAGGGACTTACAGCACTTGCTGATGAAGATCAAAGAATACAGCTTTCCATAAGGAAGACAGTTTAATGTAAAGGAATAAAAAATCCTCAGATCATTTGCTCAACATACAGATTAAATTGAACAATGTCATGACAAGCAGAAAAATATTGAAGCTGTCACAGATTTAGGTTTACTTGGCTCCACAATCTATGCTCATGGAAGCAGCAGTCCAAAAAAAATCAAAGAATATATTGCATTGGTCAAATCTGCTGAGGCAAGAGACTTCTTTAAAGTGTTACTTATAGAACTGAGGTGTGCTTGATTCACATCTTTTCAATTGCCTCATAGCATGTGAAAGTTGGACAGTGAATAAGGAAGATAAGAGAAGACTTGATGCATATGAATTGTTTTATTGATGAAGACTATTGAATATATCGTGGACTGCTAGAAGAACAAACAAATCTTCCTAGGAAGAAGTACCGTTAGAATGTTCCTTAGAAGCAAGGTTGGTAAGACCTTATTTTATATACTTTGGATATGTTAACTGAAAAGACCAGTCCCTGGAAAAGGACACCATGTTTGGCAAAGTCATCAAAAAGGAGGCCATCACCTAACACAATAGATTGATACAATGACTGCAGACCTAGCAGTGGGTTGACAATGGGTTCAAATCTAAGTAGTGGATTCAACCCTAACAGTGACCAGGCAGTGTTTTGTTCTGTTGTGCATAGGGTCGCTATGAGTCAGATCCAAACTGATAGCAACAATAACCTACGTACCTGGATGTGTTCATTTTAGCTTTTGGGACCGTTTGGCACATTGTGGTAGCCTTTGTGATAGGCATACTGCTTATATTTCCTGTAAGTACATTTCTCAAAGAGGGTTCAGTAGCACACTAGTCCCTGAACATGTTCCATAAGGCAGGATTTTGTATCTGATCACTTTTGGAGTGTGCTGTATGTGCGGTCCAGTTCACATTTTTTGTTTAAGACACTGAGAAATCCTGCAGTAAAGATACTTTATTAATGTTCCACATCTAAATTTGATCTTGGAATTGCTTACTTTTTACCAAAAACAATACCTGTTGACCTCTTAAAGAGTTCTGTGGAACACCATGACTTGCTGCTGGAAAGAAACCAGTGTTGGCATACCACGTTTCTGTATTAGATGACCCCAGAAGCCAGCATGCCTGACATAGTTGGCTATCTTTGCCATGCCTCCAGACACACCTCTCACTGGTCCCTGGCCTCTCAGCCATGCAGCTCCTTGGTCTCTGTCCTGCTTGGCCAAGTGTTTCAAAGGTCTTTTTAGCAAGACTGATCAATTCCCAAAAGACACCCCATTCTGCACGGCAGCCTCCTTCCCACAGGCACTCAGCTACTTTCACTTCATCATGAGATCCCTAGTTCTTGCTTTTGAGGTGACTCATTTTATACTTAGTGCAATGACAAAAACTGACCAAACCCTGTGGTACAGTCCCACAGACCCTATTGAGTGGTCCCACTCAGTTATTCGGGGGGAGTTATGAAGCCTGGATAGAAGAGGCATGTCAAATAAATTCACTGTACCATAGCACCTAAAAACCAGATAGATTTAAAAAGGTATAATTTCTATAGTAATTGTATAATAGTAACCCTTTCTTCCCCATGGCTCCATTTAGCTTATTTTAATTAACAGCAACAAAATAATTTCATATATCACAAAATTCAAAAATGCCATGAGGAGATACAGCCATCTGTTTGTTTTACATCTTATCAATAGTAATATGTTCTACATACATTGTTGCAGCAGGTAATTTGCTGATGCTATAATTTTCAGGTGTTCATTTACAGATATTCAAAGGATTTATAAAAATACTGATATAAAGGCAGTAATAATGAAAACTAAAAAAGAGGTTTTTGACTTACATCATAACTTATGACATAGTCGTCTAAAGGGAATCCCGGTGTAAGTCATGTGTTCTACTTTCACACCTGTTGTCCAGACACGTAATGTTATTACCCAGATAAAATGTTTTTTAGAGAGAGTTTGTGTTCACACACACATACATACGGGAGCGGAACACATGACCCTATTCCCTGTCTTGTTTTCTTTACATGAATAGCAGCATTTATATACATTCTTCAGCAACTTGCTGATTTTATTAGCAACTATGCATTTTAGAGATCTTTCTGTATCTATATATAAAGATACAGCACAAGAGGCACTCACTCATCTCTGCCAAGAAATTTGGAAGACAGCTATCTGGCCGACTGATTGGAAGAGATCAATATTTGTGCCCATTCCAAAGAGAGGTGACCCAACAGAATGCGGAAATCATCGGACAATCTCTTTGATATCTCAAGTGAGTAAAGTTTTGCTCAAGGTAATACATAAATGGCTACAGTCATACATTGACAGAGAACTTCCAGAGGTCCAAGCTGGATTCAGAAGAGGCCGTGGAACGAGAGATATCATTGCTGATGTCCGATGGATCTTGGCTGAAAGCAGAGAATATCAGAAGGATGTTTACCTGTGCTTTATTGACTACTCAAAGGCTTTCGATTGTGTGGATCATGACAAGCTATGGACAACATTGAGAAGTATGAGTATTCCAGAACACTTAATTGTACTTCTTAGAAATCTGTACCTAGACCAAGAAGCAGTTGTTCGAACAGAACATGGGAACACTGAATGTTTTAAAATTGGGAAAGGTGTGAGACAGGGTTGTATTCTTTCACCATACTTATTCAGCCTGTATGCTGAGAAAATAATACAAGAAGCTGGGTTCTATGAAGAAAATCATGGCATCAGGATTGGAGGAAGACTCATTAACAACCTGCGATATGCAGATGATACAACCTTGCTTGCTGAAAGTGAAGAGGACTTGAAACATTTACTTATGAAGATCAAAGAGCACAGCCTTCGATATGGATTACATCTCAATGTCAAGAAAACAAAAATCCTCACCACTGGACTAATAAACAACATTCTTATCAATGGAGAAAAGATTGAAGTTGTCAAGGACTTCATTCTTCTTGGATCAACTATCAACACTCGCGGAAGTAGCAGTCAAGAGATCAGACGACGTATTGCATTGGGCAAATCTGCTGCACAGGAACTTTTTAAAGTGTTGAAGAGCAGAGATGTCAGCTTGAGGACTAAGGTGCGCCTGACCCAGGCCATGGTGTTTTCAATAACCTCATATGGATGTGAAAGCCGGACAGTGAATAAGACAGATCGTAGAAGAATTGATGCCTTTGAGTTGTGGTGTTGGAGGAGAATACTGAAAGTGCCATGGACTGCCAAAAGAACCAATAGATCTGTTTTGGAAGAAGTGCAGCCAGAGTGCTCCTTGGAGGCCAGGATGGCTAAGCTTTGTCTCTCATACTTTGGACATATTGTCCAGTGGAAACAGTCGCTGGAGAATGATGTCATGCTGGGTAAGGTGGAGGGTCAGAGAAAAAGAGGAAGACCCCTAACAAGATGGATTGGCCAGGTGGCATCATTGATGGCATCAAGTGTGGCAGCGGTAGTGAGGTTGGCCCAGGATCAGACATTGTTTTGTTCTGCTGTGCATGGGGTCGCTATGAGTCAGTTCCGACTCGATGGCACCTGACAACAACAACAATAACATATATAAAGAGTGTTCTTGTTTTTAAAATTTCTCCATAATGGCTAGTATAATCTGATTAGTCTAGATAGTCCCCTGCTGATAGAGATCTAGATTGTTTAAAACCTTGATACTACACTCAATGCTTCAGTACAGAACCTTGCACATAGATCACAGCTGTTAGCTAGTGATTCCTAGAAATGGCATTCTGTGGTAGCGGATATGTGTAAATGTATAAGTTTGAGAGATTTTTCAAATTACCCTCTGTTATCCACTCTACTGAAGGAGCCCTGGTAGTACAATTGTTAAGCACTTAGTTACTCACTGAAAAGCCTTTAGTCTGAACTCACCAGTTGCTCCAAAGGGGAAAAGATTACAGCCTAGGAAACCCTAATAGACAGTTCTCCTCTGTCATAGAGGATCACTTTGTAATAGTCACTCTATCAGCAATGTATAAACACTCCATGCTACCGCACTCAGAGTGTTGCTATACTTTGTAACCATAGCAACTTGATAATGTGAATATCAGTATCTTGGGGCTTAATGTTTATTTATTTTAAAAGTTAGGAGTAGCTTCCTTTTATATTTTTAATTTTATGTGTAAACAGTTTATTATACCTTTTATTCATTTACTTACTAGGTGTTTTTTTTCTCTCTCATTGATAATTAATATCTCTGTCTATATATTTGGAAAATTAGTCTTTTATCTGTATACTCCCGCCACTGGTCATATGTCTTTTATTTTCTTAATGTTATATCTTGCCACAGATAGATTTCTGTATTTTTATGCAATACAATTAGATTTATCAATCTTTTCTTTGATGTCTTCTGAATATTATGTCATAATTGGAAAAGGCTTTCTCATCATAAGTGTAAAAAACACCCATCTTTTCATTTTCTACAACTTTTATGGCTTCAATATGTATGTTTAAAATTTTCATCTCTCATAACGTAATTACTTATTTAAGTGTCAACTATGAAGTAGATAGAATTTTTTTCTTCAAATAAGCCCATTAAATATTTATTTAGTCATCAAAAGAAATACATTAATTCAACTTTCTTTTGTCTTTCCATTTTCAGGGAAGTCTTGAGATTTTTTCTGGACTCGGACTAGTACTAGGACCTCCTCTAGGCGGTTTTTTGTATCAAACTTTTGGCTATGAGATGCCCTTTATTTTCCTGGGATGCATAGTTCTGCTGATGGTACCCCTCAACATGTATATTTTACCTAATTATGGTAAGACCACACTTACTATTCATTTTAAGAATAATAAATTCATGTGCTTTTATAGTTGGCCAATGTCTGTATACTCACTTACTTTATTATATACTCAATAACAGAATATTAGGGTATTCTGGCAGACTGCATTCTCTTTCCAGAAATGCTGCTATAGGCAATATTCATATGACTTTCTATGCAGTATGCCCCACTTTTTGAAAGTTTGCTTTATGACACTTTGCTTCTCTGAAAGGCCTACATTAGTAGCACCTGTTTTTGCTAAGAGAAAACGTAAGAGGATTTTTGCTTTTAAGAAAAATGGCAACAGGGGAAATGAGCATCAGCATGTGTTTTGCAGTGAGCTGTTATAAGAGTCAGTGCACACCCGAAGCAGTGAGAGTGACGCCCCCAAGCTCCGTCCCAGGAACTGCACTTAACATCACATCAAGCCACCATAGTCGGAACATTGTATGTTAGTGTTATTTTAGGCTTCATGTGTTATTGGTATAATTTGGTAATTAATTTTGGGGTTTGGGAAAGCTCAAATATATCATTAATATCACATGTAATTAAAATTTTACTAAAGAGAATTCAAAATGGTTTCAGCAGCACATTGACAGGCGGAAATTCAAGCTGGATTCAAAGGAGGACAGGGAATGGGAATGAGGGATATCATTGCTGACATCACATGGATCTTGATTCATAGCAGAGAATATCAGAAAGATGTGCACTTTATTGACGGTGCAAAGGCTTTATTGACTATGCAAAGGCATTCAACTGTGTAGATCCTAACAAACTATGGACAACATTTTAAAGAGTGGGAATTCCAGAACACTTAATTATGCCCTGCAGGATTCTCTGCTCTTAGGTTTATATCACATCAACATGGCAATTTTGACATCTTTAAGGGACTAAAATAGTCTTCCTTTGAAATGTTCTTTGAGTTTGGAAAACAAAGAGAAGTCTGAAAGGGCAAGATGGGCTGTTGGATGAATGATTTAAAATTTCCCAAGGACATTCTCTTAGGATGACCCTTGTAACACTGGAAGAATGAGCACAGACATTGTTGTGGTGGAAAAAAAATTCCTTGACTCAACTTTTCTGGCCTTTTTTAAACACCAGTGCACTTTTCCATTTTCTTCAAACTTCTTCATAATAAGCGCACATGATGGTCCTGTCTCCTTTGAGAAAATCTATCAAGATTACCCCTTTGGTATTCCCCAAAACAGTTACCAAGACCTTCTGAGCTGACCTCTCTGCCTTGAATTTAACTGCCTAATATCATGTTTGGAGTCCTTGTTTGGCGCTGTGGGCGAATGCATCAGACTGCAAAGTCGTTTGAACTGCAAGCAAGGTCGGTAGTTCAAGCTCACCAGCTGCTCCTTGGAAACTCTATACAGGGTTGCTATGGGTCAGAATTGACTCAATGGCACTTAACAACAACAACAACAAAAATATCATGTTTGGCAAAGTGGAGGGCCAGCAAAAAAGAGGAAGACCCCCAACGAGATGGATTGGCACAGTAGTAACAGCAATGACCTCAAGTGTAACAGTGATTGTGAGTGTGGTGTAGGATGAAGCAGTGTTTTGTTCTGTTGTGCATAGGGTCACTATGAGTCAGACCCAATTTGATGACACCTAACAACAACAACAGATCCTCTTAGAAACCACTGCTTAGATTGGACCTTGCTCTCTAGATCTTATTGCTAAATCTAAGACTCATCTCTTGTTAAGATTTGTTCCATAAAGTCAACATTAGCTTCAGTCTTGCTTAAAAGACATAAAAGATCAGGATTTTGAGAAAGGCTGTGTGCTGGGGGCCAGGAGGCAGGCGTACAGAATGCACCCTTTGATGGTTTAAATGATTATATATTCCTGAGTGTTTTTGTGTACATCCCAAAACAAACAACCAAACTAAAAACCAAAGGGAATAGAAGCAAATACTTTTGAATAATGATGCACAGAGGAGACTGTAATCATTGCAATGAAATGAGGACTATAAAACCAGTGTTCTTCCATGTAAACAAACACTCAATTCACAATAAAAACCTTTTTGAAAAAGCAATGTAGATTAAACATTACAAATTTTAGAATACATAGGGTATATCATGTATGTTTGTGCTTAACATGGATAAATAAATTAAAAGTTCATTAAGTAGCATTATATGTAAACTATGGCTTAAATAGGAGTACTGGTGCGGCACTGTGAGTTAATGCGCTGGACTGAAAAGTCGGTTTGAGCTGCAAGGTTGGTGGTTCAAGCTCACCAGCTGCTCCTTGGAAACCCTATACAGGGTTGCTATGGGTCAGAACCAACTCTATGGCACTTAACAACAACAACAATGGCTTAAGTAAAATATTGAAAGCATATAGATATGTGACCAAAGTGCCAAATATCTATATTTGAAGTAATGATTTATAAGAAGTAATAACATGGGGTAGCACAGTACATGAAACATTGGACTTTTAACCAAAAATGTCAGAACTTGAAACCCACCAATTGCTATAAGGGAGAAAGATAAGGCCATGACATAAATCTGTAAAGATTTACACCAGAAATCCTAAGGGACACTTCTACATGCTCTGCAGGGTGACTGTGAGTCAGAATTGACTAAAAGGCAGTGAGCTAGTAACATGGACAGAGTCAGTGTTCATGAAAATGAGTAGCTATGGCAATGAGGTGGGGCTACTGGAGTTGAACAAGGAGTGGACCCAGTCAGGAAGGCAGGAGAACTGTTGCTGAATGTGAAAAGGAGAGGTGTGGTTACAGAAAAACTTAAGCGCCATCCTAAAGAATTTGAATTTATCTTAGAGACAACAAATACTGAAGCCTTCCTAATAGCAAAGCTTTCTTTCTGGCAATATCATGAAGTGATGACCATTGATAAATCTAACAAAGATGAATGAATCTGGAAATTATCAGAAGAATGTAACCTTAAGTAATTAAACATTGGGGAGTGGCATTAAATAAATGGTGGAACAACAACAAATCTTCACACACACTTTTTTAGTATCCTGTTTTGAAGGCACCTTTTCAGGCTAAGACAAATGCATTACTGAGAGAACTTGTCTGCAGTTATTCACTGATCAAAGCAACATGTTTAAACACACTTTGATTGGAATAAACCTTTGCATTAATGAACTAGAACCCTAGTAGCAATTGTTTTTGACTTACAGATTTCTTGATAAAAGGTGTAACTACCTGTAATTTATATTCAATGGGGACTAATTACCATCTCAAAGTCTTTAACAAGCTTGGCTACTAACTGAAATGTTGAACCCCACACAAAAGTGCCGTGGAACTAAGTCCTGGTGATCTACTTCCAAAAAATCAGCCACAAAACACCCTATGGAGCACAGTTCTCTTCTAACACACATGGAGTTGCCATGAGTTATAACTAACTTAAGGGCAACTTGAATGTCCAATTCAAAGTTCACACCAAATGAGTATCTGAACCACTTGGTGGTACTGGTCCTTTTTGTAAGTGTAAAACTATATGCTCTTGTTTCTGATAGTTGAGTATCTTAGACTGCGCTCAGATTTGGTTCACAATTAAATAGTTGGCTGATGATTTAGAATTGTACACCAAGGCTCAACTTTTTCTATTCTGGAAAAATCTAAATTCAACATAAAATAGTTGAACTACACTTTACAACTATGTACCTTGCCCATAAACCAAAAACACAAAAACAAAACCAGTTGCCACTGAGTTGATTCTATTTCCTAGCAACCCTATAAGATATAATAGACCTGCCTCATAGGATTTCCAAGGTTGTCACATCTTTCTCCCATGGAGCAGCTGGTGGGTTCGAACCACAGACCCTTAAGTTAGCAGTTGAGCACTTAACTTACTGAATGATGAATTCTGCTGTGTGCTGTGGGAGATATGAGGACATATGAGTGCTGATCTTGGCCTTCAAAGAACTTCCACCTTTGCTTTCATTTTCTAGAGATGCCATATTAAAATACCACAAAGTGGGTATCTTTTATCAACAAAAATGGATTGCCTTAAAATTCATGAACATGAGAGTTTGAGATCAGGATGTTGGTTTATTGAAGCCCTCTGAGGCTTTGAGGGCGACTCCATCTCAGCTTCTGTCTGACCTTTTGATAGCTCTTGGCATTCTTTGTCTTGCACCTCCTACATCATGTGGTGCCCTTCCTGGGTCTCTGTTTCTGGGTCTCTTCTGTTTTTAGAACAGTACTCAGATGGGATTAGGATCTGTTCTACTTGGTATGACTTTAAATTACCAAAGAAAGTCACATTAGTATTTCAACGTATCTTTTTTTAGGGGAAAACATTCAATCCATAACAACATCAAAACTTGGTCAATATGATCTTTACAAGATCCTGCATAACTGGATTGTTATGTGCTTCTGCAGTATGATTGCTTCTCATTACCCTGATAGTTCTTCTATGTCCCTCCACCCCAATCTCAATCCTCCCAACTTCTTTCATTTCCTCAAATGTAGGACTTGTTTCTGTGTCTTTGAATATAACATTTCTGAACTAATATGCCTTGATTATTCTTTCTCCCTTCTTTACTTGTTCATCTCACTCTGATCCTTTAGGACCCAGCTTAGATATCAATACTTTTGGAAAGCCTTTTCTATATAACACTTCCTGTTTTTTTAAGATAATTCTAACATGCATAAGGAGCTCTGGTAGCGTTGTGGTTGAAAGTCGGGCTGTAAACCTCAAGGTTAGCAGTTCAAAACTACCAGCGATTCCATGGGAGAAAGATGAGGTGTAAACATTTACAGCCTCAGAAGCCCTGTGCAGGGTCACTATGAGTCAGAACTGACGCCGTTGTACTTAACAACAACATATACACCAGCAGGCAGCCTCCTAACTCCATCCTGGCTCGTCCACTCCTTTTTGCAACTTCTCTGTATGGACAGGATTTGGTCTGTATCTGTTTAGTTTTTGATATTCAGCATTTGCATGATATCTTGCTCAGCAAATATTTTGTTTATTAAATATCATTAGAAGATAGGAATGTCATCAAACAACACT